CAGGAACCAGCCTAAGGATGTATAAGTCAGTCGTAATATCTGACCGTAACTCAGCCATTATCACATAAACCAGCCAGATTTTTTTAAGTCAGCCGTAACGATCGACTGAGTTATGTTCATAACTCAGCTTATTTCTCATAAGTCAGCTAGGTTAGTTAAGTCAGCCGCTACGCACCTATATCTCGGCCGTAACGTAGTTAGTATCCTATTGCGGCTGAGTTTTATGCCGCATTCTTACGTGGACCCAAACTTTTTGCTTACGTGGCATAAAAAAGTAATGGCATTCTTGTAAATATGTTTTTTCTCACAACATGAAAAAAGGGCACGTTGGGTATTAAAAAAAAGGTAGTAATAAAAAAAAGTTTTGTATGGTTGTGATAATAATTAATAAAATTCATATTAGTTGAGTTAACTTCCCTATTTTATCTTCGTTTTGATTATTTGTAGAGTTTTTCAACTCAACCAAATCTGATCGTCATATTTATTTCTCCTTCTGATTTGATGCTGAATACATAAAGTCAGTCTTTACAAGATATGCTCGTTTAAGATTGAGTCAGTCTGCTAATCTCAATCAGTTTTCATTGGTTTTTCACCAGAGACAGATCAGACTTATCCTTTCTCCATTGTTTTTCCAGAAAAGTATTTTTTGTTCATAGAGGATAATTTCGCAGTTACCTTCCACTGCTAGTCCTAAAATGGAATGGTCCAAATCTTCCCAATATTACTGGTGAAGGGGATTGCGCTCTCCTAGCAATTGTGTGTATCCGGCAAATAAGAATGAAATGCGTTGGAGGTGAAGTAATCAGAGATTTGGTCAAAGTGGAAGAAGCATGAGGAAAAGAGTGGTGGAGACCGTTGGTAATCATTGTAGATTGGTGGTTCAAGATCTCTTTTTTTCATTGCATGTTCTACGTGTAGCAGCAACAGAAGAAAAATTTGGCAACATGTGTCGATCTTTCTTCCTTATGAAGACACTCATAGCAAAATTTTAGTAATCTATGTACCAGAGTCTCTCAACATTACTTTAATGAATTAATTAGATAAAAGTGGAGAGAGGGTTAAAAGCAAGAGAGATGAAGAGAGAAGAAAAAGTACGGGAAATTTTTCTGCAACATGTCAGCATTACAATTAAGTTAATTTTTTCTATTTAAATTATAATTAAGATGTTAACCTATATTATTATATGTCTAAGAGACTGATTGAGAAATTACAACCGTTACTGATCCCTTAGAATTAGTGTTTTTAAAATTAGGCTTTAGCCAATATTGTAATTGGTCTATTTTTCATTAAGGAATATTCAAAATGTCGATAAAAACGAGAGATTGATTGAATAGCTAAAGTATATATTACTTTGATTTTGGCAAATCTCCTATATATTAATTAAAAAACATTACAATATATTTTGTTAGTCACGTATCATCATCACAATGATTCTTAAAATCTTTAGAATAATGGTTGGTCCATCTAAACATGTCATATAGTTTTATTAAACTAACTATCAAATTAATTAGTAGTGTACAAAAGAATATTTTATATTCTTTCCTTAAATAAAAGTTACGGAATTACCTAATATGATTAACATATATACGACAATTGATAATTTTGAATAATAAATATTTGATAACAATTTTTGTATCCTCCATTTTTATTTAAATTTATATTCTTAAACAAATTAAACAATCACATTAACCATATAATTAAAATTTAGATTTTTATATGCTATGTTTTAAATTTTTTAAACGACTATAAATTACTAAGACTATTAAAATCCCACAAATGAAAACTTTGTGATCAAGGCTTTATTTTTGTTATAATAAAATACAAACAATTATAAACTCATATAAATATGAAGTCTCATTTAATATATAATCAGATTAACAATATGCATATATATATATATATAAAAATCATATTTAAAAATACATAAAAATGTTAATCTCAAAATTTGCATTGAGTAGGAAGCATCAATTAATAAATATTCATATTAATAATAAACAAAATTCTAGAAAATATAAAAATGTTAATAAAATCATATGAGTACAAAACCTCAATAATAAATATGCCTATTAAAATATACTATATATATATATGTCAATATTATTTAATTTTTTATATGCCGTATAAAATAAATAAATATTTTTTTATATTTTTCCACCAACAAAATTATTGTAAATAAAAAATTATTTTTTAATGTGCTTACTCCAATGTAATTGTATACATAATAATTACTTAATTCTCAATTATTTAATATATATATTATTTCTTAATACGTAAATGAACAAAAAACAATTATATGTATAAATAATTTGTATACATAATTAATGTTCTTTTTGTAGCAAAACATAATTAATATTCATTCCGTCCAAGCGCGGATCTCAAATGTTATTTGATCATATCATTTTAGAAATACAATTCTTTATACTGAAGTGGAAATGTGAATGGTAACATTCCGGTGATATCATTGAAATCCAATGTGAATTAAATAGGTTAAAAACGTTATCAGTATGGCCTGATACTCAAAATTTTATATTAACGGTCCTTGAATATATGTTTGAGAACTTATGAAACGATGGTTCAATAATCAAAATTAGTATTCAAATATTTTTTTTGTAAATAAATTTCATCCCACGCATGAGCGCGGATAATCACCTAGTTATATGTTAATTAAGGATACACAAATTTGATTATTTTAAATTACTCTCTCTCTTAGTGTAAGTATTAGCTTTAAAACATTAACATTCAACCATTCTTACCTTTCTAAATTAACATTTAATATATGAGATCAGCTAATTATAAAAATTACATAACTTATGTGGTGACACAATATCTATTCCATACTAATATTTGAGAAATATATTTGTTTATTAGTCATGTTCTCCATAATTTTAGTGGATTTCACTGTTTCTTAAATCTAAAATGTTGATAAATATTTTGGATATTGTTATTTTGTTAATGTTTTATGAATTGTGACTGTATTTAGTGTTTTTGATGTCACTAAAATGCTTTTCATTCTGTAACTACAAAAAGTTGTTGCTTTTAAATCTAAATTTTCTACGATAGTCTGTTTATTATTAGAGAAGATTCAAATCCAAATGTAGACCTTCTAAATAAAAGGATCAAATAAAAAAGATAATTCAATACAACAATTGTCAATATGACAGTAAAATTACATAATTATAATATTAATTCCAAATTTGTTGCTAATTTAATAATTTAGATTTAAATAAAAATTACCATTAATATCAAAGTTTGTTGGTATAAATATTAGTTTACACAAGCTGTAAAAAATATGAAAACAACATATATTTTGAAACAAAAATATTTTTACATTTATATTATGAAATAGAAATTATTAATTGTAGGTCCACAATAATTTTTTTGGTGATGTGAACATTTTAGAGGACACATGATTTTTTTACTTGTTTGTTACTGAAGTAAAATAAATGCAATGGTTCAGTCACAACATTAATCAAATATTGTATCCAGAAACATTATAAACTATATACTCATCTTCTCATCTTATAGCATCCTTGAAAATGGCAAAACTTTTATCCAAACATATTCGAGCTTCATTCCCCATTGCTTTATCTCTCAACTTCGCCAATCTCTCACCCATCTTTTCATCCTCCATAACTTTCCTCAACCCATCTTCAACCTCTTTCTCACCAAAACCGCCTATTCTCACCCCAATTTCCCACACATCCACGATGTATCTACAGTTCACAAACTGGTCTCCAGCTACAGGATAACACACTAGCTTCCGACAACTTGCCACTGCCTATGGACGTATACAAACAACTCATGATTCAAAACTATACACATTGTATTTGGATGTATACTGCATATGTTTTAGAAATATTGTATATATATATATAGGTTCAATTAGGATACCTCCATTGTTGAGTTCCAGCCACAGTGAGTCACGTAACAACCGACTGAGTCACTTTTAAGAACTTCAATCTGAGGGGCCCATTGCACGATCCTTCCTTGGTTCTTGATTCTGTGGATGAACCCTGGTGGCAGTCCCTCCTGCCAAACCCGGTTTAGCGCCCAAATGAACGGTCTTCCCGACGCTTCCAACGCTAATGCCAACGTTTTAATATTTGAGTCTCCTATTGGTGAAACCCAGCTTCCGAATGAGATGTAAATGACTGAGTTTGGTTTCTGTTCTTGAAGCCAACCAAGACAAGATCTGTCTTCTTCCCAGAAACTAGGGTTCTTGGTTAGAGTTTTATCACTTGTTGATGCTTGGTTATGTAACGGACCAACGTAAAGAATTTGAGGGTTTCGATTGTTATTTTCTTTGTTGATATATTCACGTTCATATTCATCTTTGAAAGAGTTTACCAAGATCCACCGGAGACTTTTTGCTCGTTCTAGGGTTCTTTGCCAGAACTTGAACCGTCTTTTTTGAGCCGTTGGAGTACCGATCAGCCACAATAGATCACCGGTGGATAGAAGCGGTTGCTCCGGTAGGAGTAATGGTTTTTCTGTTTGACGAGGACAGCCTGCACAAAAATGTTACAACTATAACTTACTATATGCAATCATCTAGTAAGAAAATTATACAAATTGTAGTCCGGGTCTAACGTGTTCAATATGAACTAATAATCAATTGGGCATAACCCGTTTTGTGTACATACTAAGTTACATGTTCTCTTAAGTTAATATTTATTTGCTATTCTCTAACTTCGATGAAAAGAAATCGACGTATTAGCTTCGTGAAACCACCTAGAGATTAACACGTACGTATAAAAGTGATTGATCACCCCCATTACTTATTGTTATATGTAACTGTATAACCTCTGTACGTCTTTTAGAGACTGTCAGTTCTACTATCTTAACTCAAATTGGAAATATATTTTTGAAATTCACGAAAATGCTCTATCCTAACTACCATACTGATCATACGTGTATACGAGAACTAGGTTCAATCAACATGACAATTCCACGAGATAAACGTTGATTGTTTGGTTCACTTGGTTGGAATATTCAATGCAAAACATTGGATATATTATCTCACTACATCAGCACTGCCAATACATTACTTATAAGAAGATAAAAAACTCTATACAGCTTTACGTAGTTGAATTGTACACGGACATACTAATTCTTATCGGCTTTTTGGGTATATTATTGTTTTTTCTGTTGTTGATATTTTGGGTATATTATTGTTTATGTCTAAGTTATAGTACATGCGGTAGTACGTACATTCTTCATTAGTACATATATTTGTTAAGAATTTACTAGACTAAATCTATACAAGATAACTACAACCCAGGGCGGACCAACAATTCATTTTAATTGGGGTCAAAATATTCTAGAAAATATATTATAGAGACAAGACTATTTGACTACTGGTTTTAGAGAGTTCAACAAATAATTTAATCAAAAATGTTGTTGATTTTTAAATTTTTTACATATACTGAGTCTATGAAATTTGTGTGGTGTCGTACGAACCCACATTTCTCTGAATGGATCAGCTAGTGACTACAACTAGATAATCTCTATCTTAAATACCTAGCTAGAGATAATCCTAGTCTATATCAATATGTACAACATGCGCTATTAGCTAGTTAATTCACATTTTATGTTTCAAGTTATGTTTCTGTATATTCTTCATTGGAAAGTGCATATCATTTTTTGGGTTGTCTAGGATATTCAACGTACCGTGGCTCAACCGACTAATCATGGGACACCTGATCACTGGTGTCAGTCAGATCTGGTTGCTCGCAAGGGAAATTAGATATCCATGTCACCTGGTTATATACTAGGGTAATCTGAATGCAACAGATTCATTTTTCTGCATATCATGACTCGTTATATATATATGTAGATGCACACATTACTATTGGGCATAACACGTCTAATAACACTAATATAGTGGAATCCCACACAAAGTGCTTACAAATTTTTTTTTTATTATTCTTTTTTCCAGATTTAAAAAAAAACAACAAAGACTAATCGCGGATCGCCACATGTTGTGGGGTCTGCAGAATAGGCCAAACAACAACACAAAAAAACGCTTATTCTGCAACTCCAAGCACCAACTTCTCTTTTTTGTGGTCCCCTTCTCCTAAGCACTCCCTAAACATTAGGGATAATAGTGCTTTAGCCTAAGCACTCCCTAAGCACTAGGGATAATAGTGCTCTAAAACACTAGATCTCTTGTGAATATATATAATTTGTGATTCAATAATAAAACCAAATTCCTAAGACTTTCACTTTATTTGTTTTTTGGTTTTAATTTATTTATCGCTTCCAATGATCGCATTTTAGGTAATCATATAAACATGTACTTATCAAGTACATCAATTACAAATATTTTGTTAACGAATGATAAAAAAATGGTTTTTCAAATGCATGAAACTATTGAAGCCATATTCCATATTAATTATTTCCATTTTTGACGGATGTGGAAATATACAAACTATGGTAGATCGGAGCATATCACCATGGTTTGTACTAATCCCGCGGTTGTGTCAGGGTTCAAATTCGAAAGACTCATGTGAATGTATATAAATATAATTATGAATTTACTTCATGACAACCAAAAACAAACTAGTATGCATATTTATAATTGAATAGCTATAATATTTTGGCATGTTTTTTTTTTGCTAAGAAGTATATATAGCATATTTCTCGAAAAAGGAACTACGATTTATGTGAATTAACCGTTGTATTAAAGTAATTAAATCAGATTACCTTTTCGGGAAACTATGCCTGTCCGTACTAGCTCTGGTATGGATTCGATCATACGGTAAGCAGCGAACATCACTGGCCAAAATCCAGCGACAGGAACACCACACCGATCAGCCACTCTTATAGCCCACGAAGCCAACAAATCAACCACAACACAAGCCACACCCTTGTCTTCTTCTCGTAGGAATCGTTCGAGCTGAGACGGCATGATGTTCTCCATCGATTTCTCTATGGAGAAGAAGTCCGCGGGAGGTGCGTCCGGACGTTCTTGACCGTCGGATAAGGCCAAGAACGTGATCCCAAGATCCTCGTCAGTCGTCGAGATCCTTCGGTGGATAGACTCGGGAGTCATAACGACAGGGGAGAATCCATGGGTGAGGAAGGCCGACGCGAGGTGGAGCATCGGGGTGACATGGCCTTGCGCCGGGTAAGGGATGAATATTATCTTTGGCTTTTGTATTACTTTCATATCTTGTTATTTGTTTCGGTTTTGATATAACTCTTCATATATATTTTGAATCTTGGTAATTGATAGTGCTTAAAGTATGTGATTCGGGTTGTTATAACAAGGAAAATGAAAGACTATATAGAAGATTATTAATTTAATTTTATTGCACACCATGCATGTGTTATATTGACTCAACCAACCTGTATATTGCGTGTAAAGAAAATATGGATTACCAAAAAAAAATGTAAAGAAAATATGTCCACGTCCCTTCAAATGGAGGTTTCATCCAGTAGTTTTAGTATAATAATATACAAGGTAATAACCCGCGCCTTGCGCTGAATGAGATTACTATTTCTTTTTTTTACTTTTAAGATACAAATGATATTATGTCTGTTTAGCATAAATATTGTTTCAGTTTTACGTTGTTTTATTTAATGTACTAATATATAAATAACATTTTAAATCTATATTTGTTTTGGTTTGTTTGGTTTAAAGGTTTGATGTTTTTAATTTTTTCGATGATAACCAAAAACAATTGTTATTTGTTTGGTTTCATTTTATATAAATTTTAGACATGTTTGATGTCGAACTAATAGTTTCCTATTATAATTTCTAAATACATGTAAAATCAAATAAGATCTAAAGAATATTTGAAGGAAAAAGAATAAAATTATTAACACAAAACCTTTCACTACAATTTGAGTGATAGTGAAAGAAAACATTAAAAAAAATCAACTTCAATAAGAATTAAAATTCTTACTTGTGGAAAATATTTAGTTATATAGTCTCATGTCAATGTGTACATATATGTATATGTAAAAGTATATAAATGTGATAATAAATATATGAATATACCTTTAATTAAGATTTAAAACATTTTTGTTCAAATTATACATGAAAGTAAATTCTTAAATAAAATTAAGTAAAAATAAAACAAACCTAGAAATTAATAACATTTTTTTTTATGAAGAAAATAAAATTGTACCCGTAAACAATAACAATAATATATATTACAAAGCAACATCTTCACTTGATACGTGAATTATGTTTTTAATCGATATTTTTTTTTTAAAGCTTTTTTTATTTCTGATTTTTTTCTACCACTCTGATTTTGTTTCTAATTCTTGGTCTGATATGAAAACTTTATAAAATGTTAATATTTGACTAAACTAAAGATCCGACTTTACGTGTGGTGTTTTTCACCTCAGTTTTTTAAATTCATAATCAATCACGGTATTTGTTGTTATTGTGTACCAAAGACTCAACCATGACCAACTTCGGCAAGGTATGAAACTTTCAATTTCTACAAAAAATTTCATCGCAACAATTTAGTTGATGCGAATCTTAATGATTTTGTAATTTTTTTACAATAAAGATATTATTTATTAGTTTCATGTAGAAAGTTTTAATTTATTAATATAAATGCTAAAAATGTTGAAAAAATAAATTAATTAAAAATAGTGTATAAACATATTAAATAATAAATTGAAAAAATTAGTGTGTGAATGCATTAATTGCCAAATAATTGTGAGGCTGATACGTGTCAATTACGATGTAAACGTATTTATTATAGTGTTTTTCTTTTAATATATAAGAGATGTAAATATTCAGAAAGGAAGACTCGACCACACTACTAATTTTCCAAGGAAACTTTTCTACTGTGGTTGTTGGGCCGTTACTTGTGCAGTGATCATTTTAGATAATAACATAATATATTTACGATTTACATCTTTATCAACATGTGTTCCGCATGGACCACCGTTTTGGTCATAAACATCTCTTTCTACGGTATATATGCTATTATGCTTCTTTCTTTTTTTGTTAAAAGCAGAGAATGTAACCAACCGAGTTATTGGATTTATTATATATGCTAATATGCATTAATGCACACGCACATATATTGCGAATCTAGTTGAAAAAAAAAGAAATGTGTACTGCTACGTGATTTGTTGTATACTGTTACGGTGGCTGCATTAAAATAAAACATTTTGTTTGAAAATGGAAACCATGCATTAAATCGAATATAAAACATTAAGTAGGGT